TTTCCAGCAACTTCTGTTTCTGTTCCTTTTTTACAGCATCTGCACTTCTTTCAGCCACTTTATAATTACCTTGGCTACAAATGTCCTAATCCAAAATTTCTTTAATCTAGAATGAGGACAATTGACTTTGCCGATTTAAAGATACATTTTAATAATGCCGTAGGACTCCAGGACAATCAAGTTGGAATTAAATGTCACTGAAAGACATTTCACTTGTCCTAACAACTGAAGTAATAAAACAGTCTGTATCTTTAAAAAAAAATCCGCAGTAAACCAAATTCTTACCTTATTAAACAATGCTGTAAATACTGCCTGGTGACTGGTCATATCAATGCCACCATAGAGTCTCATTAATTCTTCATCATCGTCTTCTTTAGCTTCCTCAAACGTGAGACATTGGACCAACAGATCCTCCTCATCTTTTTCCCTGAAATAATGCATAACCATACTGATTAATTTTTATGCATTTCCTTCAAACAAAACACTATCATTGTCAGATAATGCCATCCTGTGGCTTAAGCAGAATAGTAAAGCAATGTGAGGATTAAACAAAAGTTGTTCACTTATCATTTCAAAAAACAAAATCATAGTTGAAATTGCGCACTGATTAATGGGTTGTGATTAGCACATTTGAAGTCAAATTCAAGAATCATGAAACAAAATTTGTTCACAAAATTATACAGTCTGCATGACTAACTCATACCTTAGTAATGGCAGTAGGTCCAACAGGTGGAGACCTAAAAGCAAATAATTGTTTAAAATTATTTGGTGTAGAACAAACACAATCCAAGTGATTCAACCAATATGGTTTGGGTCATGGTAGGATTTAAAACTACTGTTTTTCAACAACACTTATGTGAAGCCATGCCCAGCTTGAAAGTACAAATTACAAGCCAAGAAAACAGTGATTTAATATTTGGCTTTGCTTTGAAGTAACCAATTTAGTTAAAGGAAGAGTAAAAGAAGCTAAAACTATAACTAATATTTATTTTGTACTATTTTTATTTTGAGTAAACAGTTACTTTTCTGCATAGAAAACAGTTCCAACATAGGGTGTGTAACTCAAGAGAAGCCAGACACCAAACTTTTCAGGTGTTGTTTATCAATACAAATGTGTACATTTAACATTTAAAGTGACATTTCTCACATCTGACTGTGTGAAAAAAATGACTGGTATTGAAATAACACCTTATTTATCCACACATTTATACTTTAAGTTTTTTAAAAGCTGGCATTTAACAGTTTTGAATTAACTGTTATATAACTATGAATGTATCACTTTAAGGGAAGTTACCAATAGAAGTCAGAGCCAAGACATGAAATGCTCAGAATCCAAAGCATTCCTATCTGAATACCATTGGGAAACCAGTTGAGATATAATTGCCTAATTGAGGACATCTGTCTGCTAGGTTAAGAAATGATTTAACTACATGGTAAAGGCTTCCTTTTTAAAGTCACTAGAGTGAAGTAAATTAATTGTAACAGATAGAAGTGGGGTTGTATTTGGTCCTATATCTGAGTAAGTTAAACACTGTTTATCAGTGCAGGCCAAAACAATAGATTGTTCTGCAAGAGATGATTTGAAGTTTTTAATACAAATGTGTGTTTCAGATGATGTTGTTTTTCAGCTATCTTTGCTGTTAAGTTTAGAAAGGGAATCATTTTACAGAGGGAAAGGTATTAAAGCATTTTTATTGGAAGTGAAACATTAAATTCAAATAGGATAAATGTACTTTGTGTTTAATCTGAATTAGTTTAAATCTGAAAATAACTTTAACACTTCTAATTAATATTTTTAAAAAGCAGAAGCTTCTACGTTTACCACATGATTGTTGTTAACTCTTAGAATAAGATTTCAAAATCCTTTTTTATTTGTTCAGTTCCAGGCTGTGATAAATTCTGCTAAGTAGTTAGAACTATGTAATGTAAAATAAAATGTTGTTTGTTCTTTGCTTATATTTCTTCTTTTTTCCTTAATTCCATCTTTCCCTATTTAAAAGAAAATGCATTTTAAAAATAGTACATTCTAAAGGTTTGCCTGTTATGTTACACTCTAGATCACACTGTCAATTTTGAAAGTGGAAATAATTTCATGAAACCTGGGAAATTTCTAGATTCACTAATAGCTTATTTTGAGATAATGATGTGTAAGTAATATATATGTTCATTTGCTTCTCAAAAGAAGTTTTAATTATAGGACAACTTATTTTTTCCATCAGGCAGGAAGAAAAATTTGGGAAATACTTTTGATTTTATATTAATTTAAAGAATGCACCAAGGGTAATTTGAATCTCCTGTGTGTTAGCTTTCTTAGTTCTTCAAAGACATCACTTATAGCACAGGGCATTAAACACCTCTGGAGTAGATGGGATTTGAACTCAGCCTTCTGAGTCAAGAGGGGAGGGCTAGGTTCAAGATCCACCTGTTTTGGAGGAATCATCTTTCAGTGACAAGGTGCTGAACCAACTTTTCTCCACATTTTTATTATAGGTCTTCTGTCTAAAGTCAGTAAGTAACAAGTAAGATGTTTATTTATCATAATGAAATGGTGACTTTTCATGTATAGCATAAGTGTTCCTTCTGTTGTGGTTTACAGTGATTTTTGGGAAGTTGTACAGCGCTATGGGTAAACCACAAGTAACTACAACTACACTGACTTGTGTCAAATAGAGACTTGTACCTATGAATTCATTCCGAAGCTCTGCACGCAACATCAGTTCCTCAGCTCCCAAAATGATTGCGTTGATGACACTCATGAGTGTTGCCATATATGGAATATTATCTGTGGTCTGAAGTTCATTCATGATAACGCTAAATCGATATTGTTGACTTTTTGCAGTCTATTGAGAAAGAAACAAAAATCAAATGTTATATAAACCAAAGTTTCCATTAATGATTGCCTTGACTAGAAGGGAACGTATGTGAAGAATGGGAGCTATTTACAATAGTAGTTAGCATAGGTGAGGAATAGAAGTTTGATCAGCACTCCAGGACAATGGGGTTAAAAGAGCAGCAGATGGTCATTGTAGACAAGGAATGAAAGGGAACAGAGAAACTTGATAAAGATGTGAGTTCAGGCTATGGCTGGTGTGGGTTGGGAAGGCTTGACTTGGCAAGAAGGGAGTCGAGGGGCAGCTGGATGGTCTTGATGTTCGTGGTAAAGATAATCAGGACTGGCTTTTACTATTGAAAATATGTGTGGTGGGTGATGGAGAAAGAGGAGTTTACAGAACAGTAGAGGATGGGGGTGGGGCAAGACAGTCAGATTTTGCTTTCCAGGATGATCTAGAGTAGGGACTGGTATTGACAGAAAGGAATGATGGCACTTTTTGTGGTTCTGCCAGATCTGGTAAGAATAACTTTTTTTTGCGGGTATGTTCAACGTTTGTTGAAGATTACTTTCCCTTGGACTTGAGTCTATACTGGAAGATGGCCATAAAGGATAGAATAATAATAAAAAAAAAACTTTTACTTGCATCAAAAGAGGATGTGTGATTAGTTGAGCAGATTGCTAATATTAGAAGCAGTGTGGCAAATGGAAGGCGAAAGCATGGATAGCTGGCAGCTTCAAAGTCCAATTTTAAGTAATTTTGAGTAACAGGTTATTCTGATGATGTGTGCAGAAGATATTGAAAGTGGTGGAGCAATTTTTTTCGATTGGCATCATGTGGAGGTTGTTGGCAAGGCCAGTGTTTATTGACCGCCTCTTGAAGATGCTGAGTTACCATGAATAACATAACGCGCTTGGCCATTTCACAGGGCTGTTAATTGTCAATGTCTTGCTGTGAGTCTGAAGTTGAATACAGGCAAGATCATGTGTGGGTTGCAGATTTCCAGTGATTTGTGTTTTTTACAGTCACCACTCCTAATGTAATCTTTTTATTCCACTTTGTGTTTTTAACATGAGGTATAGTTATAAAATTTGATTTCATGTCTGAGTCATTAATTCAGGCCCCTCTGGACTACTAATTTGGTAAAATAACGAGTGTGTTCCAAAAGCTGGCTGGTGAGGCAAATGACACAATTATCACAAGTTTATCTGTAAATACAAACCTTGACAGTATTGAGACCATGTGTAATGGTGAAGTCTGTGATAGGTTATGAGGTCTGGTAATCATTAGAGACACTGGATGGAATTCAATCCAGGTGACAGTGTTGCCTACTAGTTACACAGACCAATGATGGAACTGCATCTCCCTAATTTAAGGAATATTGCTCCGGGATTTCTGCTTTCCCTCCTCTCAAACGACCAGAACTTGACAGGTCTCCACTGTGGGCAGTGCCACTGGGATTAGTGGTAGCTGTTGGCAATACATCCAACAGAAGACCACAATCAGAAAGGGACCCAACAATAAGTGGTGATGGTGGGATGGGCACTGCTGGCTGGCAGAGTGTGGGGGGCTTTGGAAAAGATGATAGTTGGCTCTCAGTGGGGTCCCCCTTCCTGATGCCAGGATTCGGGCATTCGCTGCCTGCTCATAAAGAAGTTAATCTGGGAACCTACAAGTAAACTCAAAAGAACTTGCATTTTTGGGTTTCCCATAAGGTAATAATCCTTCCTGCCCTAGTTAATACCAGTGGTGCTTGGAAGAGGCCAAGTGGGCATTAACTTCCCACTTAACAGCCTCAATTGGTGACGAGAAGTGAACTGTTCATGAGCCTTTCCTGGGCAAAAGTAGGAAGGCAGTGCGTTCACTACTCCACAACAGCTAAACCGATTTAAATGTGCACTGCCTTTGGATAATGGGAGGGTACAGAGGAGACATTAAAATCCATCCATTGATACAAACAATGTTTTTTTTAAAAAAAAAAAAGCAGCAATTACGGCTTGTTGCAGAATAAAGAAGCATTGTATCATTTAAGTTCATAAGGTTTAGGAGCAGAATTGGGCAATTTAGCCCACCGAGTCCGCTCTGCCATTTGATCATGGCTGACGTGTTTCTTAACCCCATTCTCCTGCCTTTTTCCCATAACCCTTGATTCCCTTACTAACAAAGAAACTATCTATTTCTGTCTTAAATACGCTCAATGACTTGGCCTCCACCTTCTGCGGCAATGAGTTCCACTGACTGAAAAAATTCCTCCTCATCTTGGTTCTAAAGTGCCATCCCTTCATGCTAAGGCTGTACACTCGGGTCCTAGTCTCTCCTACTTGTGGAAGCATCTTCCCTATGTCCACTTTATCCAGGCTTCTCTGGTATTCTGTAAGTTTCATGGCTCTCTTGAAGTGACTATAAAGGGACATTCTGCATGACATTTTATTGTTATGAAATTGCTGTGCCCTCTTAGTATCTTACAGTTAGCATTTAATCAGAATGCTTATAGATTTTGGAAATGGACCAAGGGAATTCAGTATTATTTAGTACCCCAGCATTGTGAAGAAAATTCACTTTCAATTTTAATCCAAATATAAAAGGTTAAGCAGCTAATGCTTTCTAAAGAAGGGTCCTCACCTGAAACATCAGCTTTCCTGCTCCTCTGCTGCCTGGCCTGCTGTTTTCCTCCACGCTGTGTTATCTCTGACTCCAGCATCTGCAGTTCTTACTATCGCTAATGTCTGTGACTGGCTGTTTTTCACTAGGTTTTGTTTGGTGTCTTGTCTACTAGAATTCAAACATTGCTTTAAAAAAATGTCCCTTTCCACTTGGACAGTCAAATGATTCAACAGGAGGATCAGTTTGCTGATGTGGGTGCACATAGTGTGTGGTGTAATGCCTTGAACAGTAATTTTCAAACAGAAGTAGCTTGCCTTGTAGTGTTCCAGCGCGTCCAAGGCCAGATGGTGACCTTTTGGTGAGTAGATGGATAGTGCTGCTAACAGTTCAAACACTTGTTTCTTTACCATGATATTGGCTGTGTCCAAAGCTGTGAATCAGAGTTAACATGATCAGTACTTTGCATAAAAGAAACAAAAATATTTATAATTATAACCTGCTTGTTCTTGTTCATGATCTTCCTACTCCATTTTGTTCAAAATTTGTTGCCTGGTATTTGCAGTGGGGAAAAAGTAGACTATCAGAGATCACAAACACATGTAATGGAGAAAATCTGAAGGCAAGTCCTGATGTATGCATACACACTGATAAATGTGAAAATCTGCAATTTGGTGTCCAATATCCTTTTCCTCCATAGGATATGCTGTTGCAGTTGTCATACACTCAAGACAGAAATGACCATAATAGTGTGAACTGGCACACATACCACACTAATAGATTTCCACACTCAAATGATGGGAAAATCTAGATTGGTACATTTTGCTGTAGGTCAAGTACCATTGGATAAATGGGATGGCACAATGCTCAGTGTCAACACTGCTGCCTCGCAGCAGCAGGAACCCAGGTTCAATTCTAACCTTGTGTGGAGTCTGCATGTTCTCCCCATGTCTGCATAGGTTTTCTCCAGGTGCTCCGGTTTCCTCCCACAGTCCAAAGACATGCAGGTTAGGTGCATTGGGCATACTAAATTTCCCCGTATGTGCAGTCTAGGTGGATTATACATGGTTAATGTGGGTTTGTGAGGATGGAGGGGTGTGTCTGGATCTGGATGAAATCCTTGGACGGTTTTTGCAGACTTGATGGACCGAATGGCCTCTTTCTGCACTGTAGGGATTCTATGATTCACTCCTGAACAATATTTGTGGCCTTGGAAACATTATGTTTATAAGCTGTCTCAGACCCTCAAAATTATTGGAAATTAAGAAATGTTTGCTTCTAATTCTGCATTTTTTTTTTTTTGTTAACAGTCATTTAACTTTGTCCATTCCTGAATTATAACCTACTGATTTGGAATCTGCAGATTTTGAAAGGATAATTTTGGGTAGTTGAATAGTTTGTGTTGCTTTTATTATTTACATGGCATCCAGCCTTGTAGAGGGCATCATGCTGAATCAGATACCCAATGAGTGAAGAAGAAATGCCAGCTACAAATGGGCAGCTCTCAGTGAACTGAATGGCAAGTGTCATTCCTTTCTCAGTGTTAGCAAAAATTCAGGCTATTATTTTGCATGAGCAATGAAAAATCTTGAACGATTTTCAATTGATTGACTTCTCATTGAGTAACTTCGAGTGTAGTAATTCGATGCCCTTGTGACTTACCTTTTTTAAATGCTGTAGTTTACATTAATGAGTTCTATCAAATAACTAGTTAAATGTGTACTGCTGCATCTGTACGATAACAAATGCTGATTGAAAGAATGTCTATAAATTTCTACTATTCCTGTTTTGGAAGAAAGACTGTGAAGCTGGCTTTGTGTTGTGTTCTGAAAATGCTTGGTGAACTTAGAATTATTGAAATGTAAAATAGCTGCTGTACTCAAAGTCCCTCTCGATCTAGTGAGCCTGTGCCAACTCTCTGGTACTGCTTATATTTTGCCCAGAGCACTGCTTGATGCATTTTATTATCATTCTCCTATAGAAAGTTCAATTAAAGCTGTCTTCATGTCTTTGGGCAATTATTCCAGACCACAACCATTTCTTTTTGCAAAGAAGAACAATTTTCTTGATGTCGCAGTTAATTTTTGCTTTCAATTCATCCACCAATGGGAACAGTTGCTCTTGACTCTGTCTCGACATCTTGTTATTGTGAACACCTCTATCTAATCACCTGTCAACTTTTCATATTATTTAGTTAGCTTTAAATTTTGATAGGTTTTTGTCACCCAGTAGAGGTCTGTAGGAAAGCTAGTGTGATTTGGCTGGTTTCCAAAACAACTCTTCCTCTCTCATCATTTGGCCTGTGTAACTGATATCAAAAAAAAAAGTAGCATGCTAGCAACTAACTTGATGTGCACACTTGACTTTACATTATTCAATTTCAGAAATTGGTAATAGCAGAATGACAGCCTGTGATGGAATAGAGATGGGATCAAGACTATTGCGCACTAATGAGTTCAGATTAAGCCTTTGTAGTATTGCACTGGCCTACGTGTCAAATCAGATTAAAAGCCATCAAGTTTCTTATTTTCTACAGAAGGTGAATAATATCAATAAATTAAAGATGCATGTACGTTGCAGTAGATGCTGTACTGTGAGGAGATTTATGTTAATTACATTTAAAAAAAATCACTGTTTAAAACAAAACAAGATAGTCAAATATTGACTATGAACTATGCTAGTACAATGAAGTCGTTCTGCTTTCAGATTCCACACAATTCTGTGATGCATCCTGATTCACATGTTCCTGCACGACACCATATTCCTGTGAATGAAGGCCATGGGATTCTCTCTCTTTTAGTGTTTTTCTTTATTCTTGCAATAATTATCTTGATTGCATTTCAAAAGAAACTTTGAAGACAAACTTGAAATATAAACACCGATGTGATCCACTTTGAACAAAAAGGGAATGAATATTACTGTTTAAATGTCATTCCCTTTTAATGTAAAATGCAATAGAAAATTTAGGATTATTTTTATGGAAGGATTTCTTTCAACTTAGTTGGTAGGATTCACACATTCAACATCAAAACTCCTGTTTAGTCAGGTAAACTATGACAAAAGTGTGCTATTATTTATCGTAAAAATAATATTTTAGATTTTTAATAGTTAGTCCAAAGTAAATTAAATTGATTTTTGTTTTAGTTTCCTTTTTAGGTTGCATTTTTAGCAATAACTATATTGATGAAAATTATGGAGAACTTTGATTATTTCTCATCATTTCTGATAATGCTTTTTCTCCGAGGAATCTAACTATTGATGATAACCTTGTTTGCTGGTTCTTTCAGAAAAATAATCAATATAGCTTTTTAATATTGCAAATCCCATCGACTGAAACTGCACTGAGATATGTCATTCTTCATACCTTGGGATAGTTTTCGAATGTAGCCTTCATTTGTTACGATGTAGTCAATGCCACTTGAAGAATTCATCACAGCTCGTACACATTTAACACAAGTGAGCTGCAGGAGGGCATCGAAGATCTTTGCCACACCTCTGCCAGAGAGCCTGTCTAAGGCCTCGAGCAGTAAATCCAGCCCATCGAGGTCTAGAAATTGTACCATCCAGTCATTACTGCTATTTTCCAGTCGTTTCTTTAGCCCAGAGTAATTAACAACAGTTGGGACTTGCAGCAAGCGGATGCAAAGCTCGGGTTCAGCATTTTCCAGGTTGGCTTCTGTTGCGTCTGCATCGAGGGGGGTGACTTTCTCTTTCAGAAGAGTCCAATTCTTCTGCACACCTGATTGTTTACCAGCCATTTCTTTTTTTTTAATGGGCTTTGTACACCTATGAAATAGAGCAAAAAGAATGTGTTAATGCGGATAGCAAGTTTTGTAATGTAATTCAATCACTTTGTGCAAGATACAATCACTGACTTCAGCAGACTGTGTGACTCCATGTCCAATAACCAATCTCCTGCTATAAGTATATACTGGAGGTTCTTGTTGTTCAGGACTTTCAAAACATTAATTTCTGTTAGTGGACTGGACCAATTAAAATCTTATGCCTTGTGACATTTTATGAAATTCAGGTATGTGCTTTTTTAAAAAAAAAAAAAAAAAAATTGTTATCTCTTATTCTTGTAAGTCAACTTCTATTTCCAGCATGTTACGAACTGTTGCTAAGTCTTAATTAGCCTTAAGATTGAGAGGTTAAGGTGTTTGAATCCTTTCTCCTACCTTTTTCATGGTGATTGGAGGCTAGGAATTCTGTGGCAAGAACTCTCCTCCTATCACACAAAAATGTGTTCAATCTCTGCAAGGCACAGGGTCCAGAACGTGATGGCATGCTGTCTGCTTGCCTGAATAAATGTAGCTCCAACATCAATCGAGAAGCTTGACCTCATCCAACTCGTCCTCACCCTCAACAACTTCTCTTTCAATTCCTCCCACCCCCTACAGACAAAGGGGGTGGCCATGGGTACCCGCATGGGCCCAAGCTATGCCTGCCTCTTTGTAGGTTACATGGAACAATCCCTCTTCCGTACCTACACTGGCCCTAAACCCCACCTCTTCCTCCATTACATTGATGACTGCATCGGCGCCGTCTCGTGCTCCCACGAGGAGCTCGAACAGTTCATCCACTTCACCAACACCTTCCACCCCAACCTTAAGTTTACCTGGACCATCTCTAATACCTCTCTCTCCTTCCTGGACCTCTCTGTCTCCATTTCAAGCCCACCGACTCCCACAGCTACCTAGAATACTCCTCCTTCCACCCACCTTCCTGCAAAAATGCCATTCCCTATTCCCAATTCCTTCGCCTCCGCCGCATCTGCTCCCAAGATGAGGCATTTCACTCCCATGCGTCTCAGTTGTCCTTGTTTTTCAAGGACCGTAACTTCCCGCCCCCGCCCAATGGTCGAGAATACCCTCAACCGTGTCTCCCACATTTCCCGCAACTCATCCCTCACACTCCGTCCACGCAATAAGAACCAAAAAAGAATCCCCCTCGTCCTCACGTACCACCCCACCAACCTCCGGATCCAACGCATCATCCTCCAACACTTCCGCCATCTGCAATCTGACCCCACCACCAAAGACATCTTTCCCTCCCCACCCCTATCTGCTTTCCGGAGGGACCACTCTCTCTGTGACTCCCTTGTCCGCTCCACACTCCCCTCCAGCCCCACCACACCTGGCACTTTTCCCTGCAACCGCAGGAAGTGCTACAACTGCCCACATACCACCTCCCTCACCCCCATTCCAGGCCCCAAGAAGACTTTCCACATCAAGCAGATATTCACCTGCACATCTGCCAATATGGTATATTGCATCCGCTGTACCCATTGTGGCCTCCTCTACATCGGGGAAACCAAGCGGAGGCTCGGGGACCACTTTGCAGAACACCTACGCTCGGTTCGCAATAAACAACTGCACCTCCCAGTCGCGAA